CTGCACGCTATCGCTTTTGACACGTTGACAGTACCGCGGGAAATCGTGACTTCTTCAGTCGACACGCACGGCGGCCGCATTTACGATGAACGAACGTCCGGGAACGTGTATCAGAGATGAGATGTATCTGTGAAAGCTATCAACATATCGAAAAACACACACTCGAATTATCACTCTTATCGGCTCTCTTTCTTTCTTTCTCTCTCTCTCTCTTTCGTGAATGAATGAACCGTCGGGATTATCCCACTCGTTCCCACTCGGCTTCGTATTTTTCGATTTGTGAAAAGTAACAACGTCGATTCCCGTCGGTTCAAACACGGTGCGTTATGAAAATGGATGAAACATCCCGGAATGTTTGGAATCGACCCTTGTTGACTTAGTCCTTGTCCACACTGCGCCAGCATTGAAGCACGAATCACAGAGTGCGCCAGCTGTCGGTAGGTGGTACCCATCGATTTAGACAACATCGGATCTTTTTTAACATCAACTTTTGTCGTTAAATGCATTACGGATCTTTTTGATACCCGCGACAAGAACGGTCAACAGTGAGAAAGAATTTTCAACGTGTAAAATGTCGTTCACAATTGCTCGCGAGACAGCGACGTTTGATTGGCCATTTCTGTTCGCGCCTTACGATTCAACGAGTCTGAACGGGCACGTAATAATCGAAGTATCGTGCCAAATTATGCTGACGATGATAATTGTTAATAGAAAATCCACCTATATATTCATCGATTGGCACAGTTTTGTTGCAAATGACATTTCCTTGTATCGGGACGTGATTGTTCCTCCTTGGATTAAATAATCGTCGACCGTTGTATATCTTGTGATACGCATTGCTTATTGTTTCAAACACCCTTGCGTGATTTTCTTCCAGTTCAGATATATATGATAGAAAAAAAGAAAATAATTAAAGAAAAAGCATGTTACGTAATGTATAATGAGACGATATAGGTGAAGTAATATTTTTGGAAAATTAACTAAATTTCCGTATTAATTTCGAGTGCAATTTAACAGACAGAAATTAAAACTTTGCTAACGTCTTACCAAACACGTCAGGACGCATTTTAAACAATTGAAAATCGGTGACATTCGTCTCTCTCTATCATAATTAGCAGTTGGACCAATATCTGCGAAGCTGTGATGAAGTCGTGAACATGTTTAAATTAAGCACAACAATGATATTTGTGGAAGTATTGCGCGAACGTAACATATCGCGTATCGTTTAAACGAAAATAAATGTAAATACGGTGTTTACCTCGATTCTGAAGGTATATCAATTGCTTTGTAATATAAAGGACGAACTAACTGGAAATCGAAACGATTTCAAAGATAGCTGCCAAAACATGACTCGTCTAATATGAACGTAACTCAACGAATGAAGAAAATTCCTCCCAGTATCGGAGAAAGTGAGAATAAAGTTACAAATTTTTACATGTTACAGAGCATGATGCTCTTTGCGAACGCGTAGAACGTTTCACACGAGTATTTTACAGAGAACCATATAACCTTTTGACACATCATGGCAAATCCAGGCGACTGTATCACATGCGGCGGTTTCTCGTTTTATAATAATTTTGATTCAGCAAATTTAGCAAAGGTTGAACTAGTAAAAGTGCCAGAAACTGTTGAAAAGGGTAATCTTCCGTTTTTCTGCAGTGACCTATATTTTCTATGCGGTTATTACATATTAGAGCTTAAGTGGTAATTGCATGTTTACGTGTTTTCAGATGGATGTGAAACAGAAAATAAATCATCAAGCAGAAGCTCAACTTCAGAGGATGCTATGGACTATGAGTTCAATTTGTGGACAAAGCACGATTGTCATGGGACACAGTATCAAAATAATAACAGAACGTGGTTTTACTTTGGTGTCAAATCTGGCACTCCAGCAGCTTGTGTCAAATTCAATATAGTTAACCTAAACAAACAAGTTAAAATGTTCAGTCAAGGAATGTGTCCAGTTTTTAAAGTTGTACCTGGTCATCTACATTGGGAAAGGATTCGTGACAAACCTACTTACAATGTAAACTTTACATATCTTTAGATATGGTAATATTCCTATATTCTATGTAGAATCTATATAAATTTATAATATTCCAGTTGGATCAAAAAGGAAATGACTTTACATTGTCATTTGTTTATCTTATTCCTGAAAATCCAAAAGCTGTAACATACTTTGCATTCACTTATCCTTTTTCTTACGTTGATTTGCAAAATTATTTAAGAAGAGTTGAAACAAGGATATCAAAGAGAAGTATAACATCTGCAGATGATGTTTATTATCACAGAGAATGTGCAATAAAGTCTCTAGAGGGAAGAAGAATGGATCTAATAACTATAAGTTCATTTCATAACATATCAACGGAGAGAGAAGACAGACTGAATAATATGTTTCCTGAGAAAAATGAGGAACGACCTTTTAAATTTTGGGATAAAAAAGTATGTAGTTCATTTCAAGCTTTATATAAAAATCACGGTATTATGATTGCAAATGCATAACAAAAGAAGTATTTTTATATCGAAATTTTCTTGCATATAGGTAATTTTTATCAGTGCAAGGGTCCATCCAGGAGAAACACCATCTAGTTTTGTTTTTAATGGTTTTCTTAATTTTCTTGTAAATCGCGAGGATCACATTGCTATTAATCTTCGTCGCCTTTACGTGTTCAAATTGATACCAATGCTCAATCCTGATGGTGTAGTCAGAGGACATTATCGAATGGATACTCGAGGAATAAATCTCAATAGAGTTTATCTCAATCCTTCTTTAAAGGACCATCCAACGATATATGCTGCAAGAAATTTGATAAGGTAAAAATAAAAAGACAATTAATTTATATTGTTAAACGATGAAAAAATTGATGAAAAAAAAACTATTAAGGTATTATCATCATACGTACCAGTTACCAAAAGAGGATGAGATGTCAAACACGTGTATAGGAAACGGTGAAAATACATTAACTATTATTGATTCTTCTTGCGCAATTGCAAATATAGTACGCGATACAACGACGAGATTACTTCAGCAGGTAATATAACATAGTTTTTCGCAAATGAAAATATCAAGACATACTAATCCATAGAGGAAAATAAGCATTAACGAACTGTTTTAACAATAGGTAACACTTATGACATTAGATGAAAAGCGTAAAGATCAACCGGAAATTTTTCAGGAATGTACATCGTCAAAAACGAATTCGGATAGCATGCCTCAGGGTACGATATTTAAAATTGAATTATTGAACGTGATCAGCAAAATTCTTTTATTTATTTATTCACGTTATGTGAAGGTGGTGGAGAAGGCCTGTGTAATAAAGCAGAGGAAAGTAATAATTCTGTAGAACTTAAATCTGATAAAAAAACTTATACAGCTGTCGGCGTAGGACAATTATCTAAAGAAGACACTGGATTATATCTATACATTGATCTTCATGGTCATGCTTCAAAAAAGGGTGTCTTCATGTATGGCAATTACTTTGACAATGTAGAGGACACAATAATGTGTATGCTTTTGCCAAAATTAATGTCTATTAACAATCCAAATTTCCATTTTACTTCGTGTAATTTTACAGAAAGAAATATGTATATTATGTATGTATTATTATTATTGTTGTTGTTGTTGTTGTTGTTGTTGTTGTTAAAGTCAAAGTCACTTTGATCTTTACATCCCGTATACATTTCTTCTAGAGATAAAAGAGACGGTATGTCAAGGGAAGGATCAGGTCGTGTAGCTGTATATAAACTCACTGGACTTATACGTAGTTATACGCTCGAGTGTAACTACAACTCTGGACGTTTAGTAAATTCGTTACCTGCGAGAGTTCGTGATGGTGTGAACAAAAATATGACTCATATGTTTGTTCCGCCAAAGTATACTCCAGCAGTTTTCGAAGCGGTGAAATATTTTGCTATTTCATGCTAAAAATTTTTCATAAACGAATAGGTACAAAATAATCATGACCTGTTTGACTATGTTTACAGGTTGGAGCAGCATTAGGTCCTTCAATTCTTGACTTGACAAATAATAATCCTAACAGTCGACTGCCAAATAGCCAATATCGTTCTTTAAGAGGCGTAAAATCTTATTTAAAATTAGCATACGTGAATAATGTTTCCTCGCCAAACGGCAAATCTCTGCATAAGGTAAATTTTGATGTAAATAATGAGAGTGAATTTTCAGCTGTTAATATAAGACATTGTGTACTCTCTTAATTCACAATACCATTAACTTGGTATGCTTTCATATATTAATATCAAGACACATTAGTGCCTAAATAACTGCACATTTTGTTGCTGATTAAAAATGTGGGAGAGAGATTTTGTATACATATGAATTGTGTATTATCTTGATTTAATAGTGCGAAATTATGATTTTTTTATTGTAGAAAAACTCTATTCTTATATTATGTTATAATATTGTAAGTGGTAAATTTTTATGATAATAACGTATTAATTATTTAATACATTTTAGATATGCGACAAATGTAAATTTTGTAAAATTTTGATTATATTGAACTAATGGGTCTTCCAATCTAATACATATGTATGCATGACAATAATATTTGATATACTTTTATATAAAGGTTTATAAAAAAACTGTTTGTCTACTCTTTTTTATTACATAATTTAATTACAAAGTGTGTATAAAATGCAATTTTTTACAATTCAGAAGTTGTATCCATCATATTAACAAATAGATATTCTGTACATGTATTGTTACTTTACCATTTAGTAATATTTTTATGATGCAATGAATTTTTAAGGCTGTACTATTTTTTTATTATTTTATAGTAAAACTAAAAAATAGAGTATAAAATGTTAACGCTTATGTTTTTAGCAACAAAATACATTCTTTTTTCATTTTCTTTAAACAGTTTTTGATGCGCTATGCTTCTGACAATAGATAAGTGCACTTATACTAATACTACATGAATTTAAAAATTATTTTATGAATGCGAGTAGTAATACGAAATACACACATATATGATTAATAATATCTATTTCTTTAGCAAAAAAAAAAGCAGAACGTAATGGTTTAGATGATTCAACCATAAATCTCCGGCTGATGGAGTCTTTAAAAAAAAAATGTGCAAATTTTTAAATTAGAGTTTAATATCTTGTAATTAATGAAACAAATGACAATAATTATAATTATACTTAAATTTATCGTTTATTGCACAGATGGTAAAATTTTGCAAAGATAATAAAATTAATTATTTTGTGTACTTTTTTGCTTTTGAAGAAAAAGATATACAGATATATGTATTTAATACAAAAATAAGTATGAATGTGTGTTGTACTGTCATATATAAAATTACTATTAAAGATAAACATATACTATATAAAACATACTGCCACACTAAAAATGCACAGGAGAACTTATACACTACTTATTGTCCATGCTTTCCATTACTTGAATGTAAATGTTGTTACTGATCAAAGAGAACATTGTGTATAAATTCATGTATATAAATTTTATAATGTATTCTATTTCACACACATATGTACACACACATAAATACATATACATGTCCTATTGTTTTAATAAATTTACAGTATTTTTAGCGATAATTTATTTACCTTATTTTTATTTTATTCCTGGTAATCCTTAGCTCCAGTACCGTATATTAATTGCCATACAATTTATATGTTTCTAACATTAAAAATCTTGTTTAAAAACTGATGTGAATTAGGTTTGCAATCATAAATCAAATGAGAATGTTGAATGAACTGTCATTGAATTCATTGTTGTACAAGAAATGTTACTGATCTACCTTTCCTTGTTCTAATAAAAATTAGAAATGCTGAGGCAAAAGATTGTAGGAAAATAAGAAGAAATCAATCTCTCTCTCTCACAAACTTTATTTACTGTAATAATATCTCTCGCATTGTATTTATTTTCTTATTTGCGCTTTTATTCACAGGATGATAATAATATTATACCCTCGGAATCTTATAATTTAAAAGAAATTGAATCTCAAATAAGTAACTCTTCCATTGAGTTAAAGAACTCAATGAAGAGCGAAACGAGCTTCGTAAAAAAACCATGCATCATTCGTCGTACCACGTCTCTTTATACCGCAGTAAAACGAATAAAGAACAACAAAAAAGTTCGACAAACTGTAACCCGTAGACCGTTAAAAAATCAATGCATTAATAATATCGAGAGCAGCTCGAAAATGCCTGTGATCGGATCAAAAAACATCGTAAAGTCATTTTTAAAAACTTCAGAAAATCGTTTGAGAAACTCTTGTTTTGGATGTATCAACGATTCCTCGGAAGCAAAAGATATTCAATATGCGAATAAGAAACTAACAACGGCAAATAAATTCTTCAAGATGGCATTGTCTTCCGAAGAGACAGCAATCGTGAAACATGGAGCAAAAAGATTGAAAATTATTTCCATGAGAGTGAATAAAGGGAGACCGGAAGTTGGTGAGCCGTCTAACAACGTTCCGGAAGTGACAAAATCACCCTCGAAAACGTTGCTTCTACCCAACAAGCAAAACGTAAGAGGAACCGCAAAAGCAATGAAGAAACATTGTCATAAAATGGAACAGAACAAATCGAAGTCTTCCAAACAGAAGAACTCAATAGAAATAGTATAATAAATCGAGAACTCGTCGAGTAACGAAAGTGCAAACAAAATTCTAAATTAGCCGGTAAAGTATGATGGCTGTAGGGAATTAATGCTTTAGCAATCAGTTGCAGCTTCATAAATTGTTTTAGACAAATGCTTCGAATATAAGAAATTATATGCGTTGAGTCTGGAAATTGCGTAAGTTATTCAATTAATACATAAGAAGTTACAAATGATTTATCACGTTGTTGAAAGAAATGTCAGATACATTTATCTTCTTTTTATCTTTCTAAATAGAAAATTTAAAGATGTTATGTTTGTGTTGGACAAAATAATGTGAAACAGTTTCAGAACATGTTTGAAATGGGTTATACTGAGAAGTTAACTTGAAATTGTATAATAGTATTATACATACGTATACATTAAGTACGTCCCGCTGTGAATACGTACATACCTACATAAATTCTAAACGTTCTATTATTTATGTAAAAAAAGAGAACAATACAAATAAACGCCAATATATAATACCATCTTACTATTAGTAACGTTTTCAACATTTTTTAAACATTGGATAAGAAAAAATGATAATTTATAAATCACATCGATTATAAATCACATCAAGCGATCTACATATTCGTTTCGACTACTTTCGGTTCGACTCGGATCGATTCGGAAACATCACACAGCAAGAGACTTATGCGTGACCCCTCTCCGTCTCGGTCAGTCGCTTTCGCGTCGTTGGTTCGTTCGTTTACGTGGTTATGAATCCGAATAGAAATCACGCTTGCATACGGATGTGATTATTTTAATAAGTGATTCTAAACAAACGTATAAAGACATTGCATTACATTTGATATAAAAGTGTTTGGTGTTCTATCCTTGGCAAAGATCTTTCAAAATGGGCGCCATTGGCGGCATTAAAAGTCTCATGCTTTTCGCGGCATTTCTGTTCTTCGTCGAAAGTGGTAAGGTTAATGCATATAACTATAGACGATGTGATTATCGTGGCGTCCTTTTGGGTGGGGCTTTATAATTTTTCATATTGTCCGTAAACGATCGCATTCGGATATAGTATTATATCGGATATAGTATAAGACTACGTGGAATCCTGACTTGTAAAGATCGAGTGAAAAAATCGATTTCGTTGAGTACATGTACATATTCATTTCTAAATGACAGCTTGAAGTTAATTGTTAAACGAAATTTGATAATTATACCAATTGTAATTAATACTGGTCAAATTACGATTCGTAAATTCAAAAATTTAAACAATCTGTGGCAAATATCATATAATATATTTGCAATCAGCTAAGCAGTTTATTAAATCGAAGTTCAATAAACTACATATTTGGGTCAGTTATTATTTTTTTTTTTGCTAATGGAAACTATTTCACGATAATAAATCGCAAAAATTTGTCTTAATATTAATTTATGTTTCTTCCCATTGAGTAATCAATTAGAGACTAAAATATTTGTAATATGTACGCGTATTATCGTTTAATTATTTTTTAGGTTATATTTTTTTTTTGTAATTTGGAAAGCGTCGTACGACGCTAGCTGACAAGACTATGAATCAAAGGGGATTAAACGGAATTGCCAATTTTTCTTTTCGTTTAGTCCACAGTTTAAAATGCTATCAATGCATCAGTACAAACAACACCGATCCCTTCCAATGCAACGAATTTCTCTCGAGCGACGTCGATATCAAACCGCAGCCTTGCGATGCTGTTTTCGGGGCGCAGTATTGCGTGAAGCACACTGGCCGATTCGAGGGTAAAACAATATCGGCAGTTCAGGTTACATATCACGGAAAGGGGAATCTTGTTGCGAAACTTAGCACTGTCAAACCGAACTAACCTTAAATCATACGTAACGACATCGTATCGATGCATGTGAGGAATCAGTGCACGGTCGATAATCATCATCGTTCAAATTTTTAAATAACTAACGTATTCCTAAGTCACGTACCTGCATACAAGGATGGTCTATTTTATATCTAATATTCAATGTTCAACGACAAAACAAGAAAACAATGTTATGTCTGCGTTAGAGTTAGAGTTTGTCGTTAGACGTTGAGAAACGTATTGGGCAAAGTCAATTTATGTCATAACAATTTTGATCAAATGATCTATTATATCTAATGTAATAATCGATCAAATAATTCATTTTATGTCTAATATTCAACATTCAACGACGAAACAAAATAAAAAATGTTATGTTTGCATTAGAAAAGTTTGTCGTTGGACAATGAGGAATGTTGAAACGTTATAACAATTTTAACATACAATCGATCAATCAACGCGTGCAATAAAAAAAAAAAAAACGCTATAACCGGTGCTTTTTCAATCGATTAAGCTACTAGTTTGGATTGCTACCAATGCACATCGGAAGAAGAACTTGGCTGTGGAGATAGCAATTTGGTTCTAAGTACCTTACAACCGGCGAACTGCAGTCACGTATACGATGCACGGTATTGCATCAAATCAGTCGAACTATATGGAGGTTCATACATTGTATATTGAGTATTCTCGGTGTTCGAGTGTTCACACGATTTCCTTATTTCTGTTACACAAAAATTCTGGCTTTCTTCAGAAGTTTCTATAGCGATGAAAAAAAAAGAAAAAGAATAAACAAATAAAAAGGATTGTTCCGCGAGAATCTTCACGCTTTGACAATGTTTTGTAAAAAGTAAATGCACGTTGCTTTCATCAACACGCTGTGCTTCCATCTTTCAATGCATGTTTACATACTTCGTCATTTTTCATCTTTCAATGCATGTTACTTGGACTAATGTCGTTTAGTTGCGTCAAATAAAACAAAGAATTTTTCCCGTGTTTGTTGAAACAGGTGGAATAGGAACGAAACGATTCTGTTCAGCACGAGATCTAGGAAATTATTGCGATTACGTGAATCGACAGGGTGACAAGTTGACTTACCGAACTTGCATCTTCAGCTGCACCGGAGACGGATGCAATCCAGCGGCCATCTTGAAACCAAGTATCGCACCGATGTTATCAGTTGGTTTATTCGCTGCGTACAAATTGTTTTTCACGTGGTAAATATTCTCTTACTGGATAAAATTTTTCTAAACGTACACTTTGTTCAGGATGAATGTAAAGTTGGTTTCTTAAAAATCTATTCCGTCCATGATTTGTTCACATTTGAAATATTGTGAATGTTTATAATCTACGATGTACTTTAGAAATATGTAATTCACACGCTATTTTTTTTATACGATAACACCAACGTGCCTTCTCATTTTAGCAAACTATTAAAAAACAAAGATATTAATCAGTAGTTTCAATACATGTTTCCAACTTCTTACTTGACTGCAAATACGCTTATACTTGTTTAAAGCAATCGTGTCTCGCGTAGCACAGCAATATATATCCTAATGTTTAGAATTTATCAATAAGTTTTGAACAATGTCTATAATATGAATTACAAACTTAGCATTAAGTTACCATTTGTACATAACCATTCAGTTGTGTACTTACATATATAAGTATTTTTGTAGCACACTTTTTTTTTTTATTATTAATTTAACGATAATCTAGATTACTTATTTTTGTATATTTTTGTACAAAATACGAAGCTCTTTGTAATGAACAATGTAGATACAAAAAAACTTAAACGTCTTCTAATTTCTTCTTTTTATGCAATTTTCTATGATTAGGCTTATTGTTAGAGACTAAGGAATCAAAAGATAATACAAATGCGGATCGAATGCATTGTATTCTTTATTTTCATCGAACAAGAATCCCCCATTCATCTTACATACACGAACTTGGTTTTTCTGCGTATAAATATATGATATAGTCGATCAACTGGTGATAACAAAAATTGTCTCACGACGATCCGTAATAAGGTACTTGCACGTTCTTTGGTATATTCATGTTTATACAGCGAACGGTACATAGAATAGCACTTTTCTGATACGACGATACACGTGTCCGTGTGCCTGGCAAGCAAAAGTTCTCTCTGTCGAGATGAAAGTTTAAGACGGCGAAACTGATCGCTTGCAAAGCAGCTTTCATAATGTAAATTATACATTCTTCGTTTCTTTTCTTGCAAAGAATACACACATATTCATATAAGCTTTATCGTATAGAAATTCCTCTCCTTATAGTTGCGTAGAATGAAAAAAAGAAACGCACACACAAGCATGATATCGGTAATATTAAGATACCAGACGACCAACACAATACGTAGTCCACTTGATAATATCTGTATATATGGCTGTGTTTTGTAATATTAAATGAAACACAGAGTGAAACATTTCGATATTGTTTTTCCAAAGCGATATTGTTTTTCCATTAAAAATCATTCATCATCATATCTCATGAAAATCATATCGGTGGTTTCTTTTTCTATTTCTATTTTGCGTCTCCTATTTTTTTTTCTTTTTTTTTTTT